TCATAAGGGTGGTTTGGATTTTTTTGTTTGTATGTTTTTGTTTTCTTCAGCTGTCTTATACCTAAACTATGGGATAGAGGCAAATAATTTCATCTCTTAAACATACTCATGCTCTGCCAGCATGGAATTTATATTTCCTGAGCCACTGGGTATTTGCAAGTAAACTGTTCCTGGGCTCTTCTAGTTCATCTTTGAAGAGGTGATTTATGAGCAGTTAGGTTAGTAGTGAATGAGCTGGCATGTCACTATATGTCATGTACCCCTACATCACATTTTTAATAAAGAATTTTCAGGCATATGAATCTTATTTAAGCATCATACCCAATGTGAACACTGACATGAATAATATTTAAAGATTTGAACACACTGTCTCTCAAGCAGTTAGGCACGGATTAGAAGGGCCCTCAATTGAGATTTCAGTACAATTTTCCAATGTGAGAAAGATTCAGAATAAGTAAAAATGTGAAAGTGAACTCTTTTATGTTCAGACCACAATGAAGGTCCTCTGGTGTTGGAGAGCTGAGAACATCTTGCAGATCAGGGTGAGGTCGATCGTTTTTAGATCTCTGCATCATGAACATCTAATATAGCCAAGGGAGATCTAGTCAAAGTAGCTAATAGAACTGGTAAGATGCAATTAAGAATGGAGGAGACTAAAGAGGTGAATTGTGTCACCATCTTCATTAATTTGTTTGTCTAATTCTCTGCTGCCTGTAAAGACATCTTCAGATGTCCTTCCCAAATACAGGCACATACTTTTGTAGATATGCATCAACTTTAGTGAATTTCAATTCCAGATTATTTTTTTGTTTGTTTCTGTTTGTGGATTTTTACAATATTTTTGTTGGTTCTGTACATATTCAGATATCTGGGCTAATATCTAAGGATTTGTTGCTTTGGTCACTCAGTGAATAACAATTTGTGTTTGTTTTTTTTTTTTTTTTAAATGAGCACTGTGCTCAGCTCCCCCAGAAGAAGTTGTTCCAGGAAACAAGCTGCAATCTACTAATTTTCATAATCACAAAATTAATAGCATGTTTGCTGTTTTAAGTATCCCCATAGTTTTCCACAACTGGTAATGTATTAAACCCAAGGGACAATGGTGGTGCGTATATGAGGAAGCATCCAATACGTATTAGTTAGGAATACTTTAAAGATACGAGACCACTTGTAAACAGTAATCTCTTTAACAATATTACGAGTAAATCTCCACATAATGAAAATAATTCCTCAGAGGTGTTTGGGTGGCATTTTTCATTTCTCTACTACTTCTTCATCTGTAGCTTCAGAAGGGAATTGTTCTTTGGCCTGGGTGATCTGTTGTGATGGTTGTGATTGAACCATCCACCCCCAAAGTTGAACAGGATTCTTGTGATAGTAAGAGCAGCAATTGTTTCTTGATGTTGTTATGGGTTGGAGTTTTACTGGTTGCATGCCAGCAACAGCCTGTGTGCTGGGGAACAGCTAAAGGATGATACACTTGTGGAGGAGTTTAAAGAGCGCAGAGAGAGAGATCAGACAAAAAAAGAAACATGATCTTTGCTTAGGGCATGTGCAGATGAGAACTTTTCTTCTAAAACTAACTGATTGCCAGATTATTTGAGTTAATTCATATACTAGATAAAGGCAACACAGATACTCCTGTAACATTTATTCCAGGACTGAGGGGGGTCTATGTTACCTGTGGGAAGGGTAGCTCTAGCTTGTTTTACTTTGCAAATGCTCCATTAAGGTTAATATAGAAGGAAAATCTCCAGTTAAAATCATACCCTACAAAGCATTTCTGGGATGTGCTGTCTCCCAGGAAATATTTTGCAGAGGACACGCAACCTACAGTAAAATTTCATATTACATATTATCAGTGTAGCCACATTCTCCTAAAAAGAGACGTTCTGCTGCTGGTGCCTCCAGCTGTATGTTTCCCATCTCTCCACCCTGAATCTGATGTGAGGTGCTTGTAACTCCTGGATGAGCAAGCCCAGATCGCAGTTCAGACAACCAGTGACAGTTTTTCATCAGATCAGCAGGCAAAATGTCTCATCTCACAGCCCCAGTTTCTCTAAGTGTGCTGCAGATGGATGGCACGAGCATGTCGTCACTCAGGAGGGGAGAGGTGGCAGCCTGTGTTCAGAGAGGATTTGGTGTCATGTACAGCACAGGATACAGAGGTTCAACTCTGTGTCTATGTCTCAGCCAGGGGCTGAGTGCAGTGATTTGTGTAAAAGATTTCTGTGAAAGAAGTCCCCTTCTCATGGTGGGGGAAAGCCATGAAATCTAACCTTACCTACCTCATTTGGGAGAAGAAAGGAGGGAAAGAGAAAAGCAACAAATGGTAGGTGCAGACCCAAGCTCTAGAAGTGCTTATCCTTGGTCTAAAATGCTTTGGACGTGCTTGTCCTCGGTCTGAATGCTGTGGAATGACTGAGGTCCTTCACAGAGCCCTCTAAGAGGATGGCAAGTCAAGGGGATCCAGGCATACATCAACAGGCATGAAGTTTATGATAGGAATTTGAGATTTTGAGGATCTGAATCCCTCCTAAAACCACTAACTTCTGAAAAGATAAGGTTGCTCAGCAAATTCTGGCCCAAGGGAAATTTCATAGAAGAAGCACCATGGGCAAAGCAGCAAAAAATTCCAAAAGCAGATGGTGCTTACTGCTTTATAGTGAAGCCAAACAGGAAAGAGGGGGAGAAACTGAGAAGGAATAAGTAGCTTTCTCTCAAGTCTTTCATCAAAATAGCTTTTAAAATATATATATTTAGATTTTCTTTTTGTAATATATCTGCTTTTGTTTTATTTTATACTTCACTTTTTTCTAGTATCTATATTGCTAGTGGAAGAGAGGGAGAGACATACAGTTCAGGATAATTTTTCTTGGTTTAAGCTGAGCAGGCTAATTGTATCCCTGGGATTATTGTAGTAACTTTTTCAGAACTAATCTAGGAATATTTTTCCCCTGGACATGTATATATGACAAACATAGGTCACTGATTCTCACATTAGTAAGAATTAGTAAGAAATTCCCGCTAATGTTAACATTTTGTTAATTTCTGGAGTCAATTGGCTATTTTATAGAATTTGTAAAGATTATGATTAAGCATATAATAAAGACAAATACTTTCAACTGCATCTCACTGGAAATCTTGGCAGCTTTTCTTTTCTTGCTGTCATTAAACAGCAAGTGAGTTACAAAGCCAAAATTACACCTCAGCAATTTACTTCAGCAATTAAAAAATCCTGAGTGAAATTATCCATGTAAGATTAGAACTTCATATCTTAAGAAGTACAAATATTCACTGCTGTCTAATCTTGCTTCAATATTGTGGTTAACATCTGGCCAGTGTTTTTATCTTTCCTGGAAAAGTCTATTTATATCAACATTTTGGTATTTTAAGGATTATCAGATTACCTTTGTGTAGACTGCACGTTCAAAGACATAGTATGAGGAACGATAAGTATTTCTATTTGAAAATTTTAATTAAATAAAAACTGTAAATTTTCTGTTGAAATGTTAAGTTTTCCTGAAAATCTTCCTCAGTTCTTTCCTCTCTTCTATCTTGACTGCAGACTGGTGAGCCCCACTTCTGTGCTGGGAAGATCATGGAGCAGATCCTCCTAGAAGATATGCTAAGGCGCGTGAAAGACAAGGAGGTGATCCAAGGCAGCCAGCACAGCCTTACTAAGGGCAAATTATGCCTGACCAATCTGGTGGCCTTCTAAGAGGGAGGGATGGCAATGGTTGATGAGAGAAGGTCGACAGATACCATCGTTCTAGGCTTCTGTTAGGCCTTTGATATGCCCCTCCATGACAATTTTATCTCCAAATTGGAGAGACATGGTTTTCATGGATAGACTATCCATAGGATAAGGAATTGGCCAGATGGATGCAGAGTGTTGTGGTCAATGTCCAGAAAGAGGCTGGTGACATGTAGTGTTCCTCAGGGCTCTGTCCTGGGACCATGCTCTTCGATTTCTTCATCAATGACACGGACAGTGGGATCGAGAGCACCCTCAGCAAGTTTGCAGGTGACACCAAGCTGTGTGGTGCAGTTCACACAACAGAAGGATGGGATGCAATCCAGAGGGACCTGGATAAACTTGAGAAGTGGACCCACAAGAATCTCATGAAGTTCAAGAAGTCCAAGTGCAAAGTGCTACACCAGGGTCGGGGCAATCCCAGGTGTGAGTAAAGACTGGGATCAAGTCATTGAGAGCGGCCCTGAGGAGAAGGACCTGGGGCTTCTGCTGGATGAAAAGCTGGACATGAGCCAAGAGTGTGCGATTGCAGCCCCAAAAGACAACTGTATTCTGGGCTGCATCAAAAAGGGGTGGTCAACAGGATGAAGCAGGTGATTCTCCTTCCCCCCTCTGCCCTCGTGAGACCCCTCCTGTAGTAATGTGTCCAGTTCTGGAACCTCAGCACAAGAAAGACGAGGACCTGCTAGCATTGGTCCAGAAGGGGGCTATGATGATGATCAGAGAAATAGAGTACCTCTCCTATGAAGACAGACTGAGAGATCTGAGATTATTCAAGCTGGAGAAGGGAAGGCTTTGGGGGAAACCTTACAGCACCTTCCAGCACCTTAAGGGGGCTTATAAAAAGGAGGGAGACGGACTTTTTATATGGGCAACGGGCAGTGGTTTTAAACTAAAAGAAGATAGATTTAGATTAGATTTTAGGAAGAAATTCTTTACTCACAGGGTGATGAAGCAACTGGAACAGGTTGCCCAGAGAAGCTGTGGCTGCCCCATCCTTGGAATTGCTCAAGACCAGGTTGGATGGGGGTCTGAGCAACCTGATCTAGTGAATGGAATCCCTGCCTGTGGCAGGCTGGATGGAACTAGAGGATCTTTAAGGTCCCTTCCAAATCAAACCATTCTATGATTCTATGATTCCCCTCTCAAAACCAAACCAACCAACCAACCAAAAAATTTTATTTTTCTTTTTTTTGTCCTCGATTTTATGTTTAAAGAAATCGACATTTATTAAGGAAATCAGAAACTGAAATTAATACCTTTAAAACAAAATTTTGCTTTCAGGGTTGTTTTCAAGAGTATTGTTTGACCTCTTCTACCAAAGCAGTTTGGCTTTATTGCAGGGTAAACACTTCTAGGCTGAATGAAATTCCATTGCATCTAGTAATGACCACATTTCTTCCTTCATTGGAGATAACAGCATCAAAGGTAATTTGGTGACATAAATTTTTTGTTTGGTGAGTAACCACGACTCATCTCAGAAATACCAGGGGATTCGTCAGATAGAATCCACACTTCCAGATCTTCATTTGTGTGAGAACAAGCAATATCAAGTCATAACCTCTCACCTTAACTTGGTCAAGTGTATGTGGACCAAACAAGAGACCCAGAAGTTGACACTATCAGCTGTCTTTTTCTGTAACATGTGTAAAATGAATTGGTGACTTTAGGGAAGTTATTGAGACATCACAGAACTGGTAAGTTTTAATCAACTTAAAAGTAAATTAAAGGAATATTATTCTCCCTACTGACTTAGCAATAAGATGCATAAAAACATCATTGAAATAACTCTAAGATAGCCTTTTAGAAATATTGATGTAGAATTCTGTATTTATGGGAGTATAATATGTAGACATTTATTGAAGATTGGGAAGATTTTGATCACAGACATAGATCATATCAGAATATCCAAACTGTAACAAAATATTAGTGCTTGTTGGAGACATCCAAAAGTGGTCATCAGCAAAGGCAAGACACCATTAGAGCTGTGATCTTAACTTTTCTGTTTCACTTTATTTCTCAGAGGAATGGCAGGAACATTAAAGTTATTGGAGTTGCCCCGGTGATGGATTTGTCACACAAAATACCACAGCTGAATGCAGTGTCACTTACTAGTCCAGCTTATGTCTGTTTTGGTAAGACAAGCATAAGAATATGCATTAACTCTTCTCTTTCTCAGATTAATCATCGAGATAAATTTGAAAGAACTGCTAAAATTCTATTGTTTTCAAACTGTACATTTTCTATCACTGTAATTTATAACCAGTAAGAAATTAAAAAAAAAATCTCTTCTCCTCAGGCTGATGCAAAGCTGTCACTTGCAATTCAGGGAGATAGGATTAGTTTATTTGTTTACAGATGTACAACCAGTCAATTAAGATTTATCTTATCTCCATTTTAATAACAGCTGCAGTTCTACAGTCTGTGTTTATGATTAAGTGTGAACGTTTAGCAATCTTAGAATCAGAGAACAATTGGAATGGATGTCTTTGGGCTGGGCTGCTGATTTGAAATATCTTGAAAATGAGTTGCAATATTGCCTTGCAAAATTATAATTCAAAAGCTTTGCCTGGGTATATGGTCGTGCAGTGTTATAAAGAGAGTTACAACAAGAGTGTTAAAGCTTATCTAATTAAAGGGAGGTCCCACATTTTCAAGAAAAAGATTTTCTGCCAAGTTAGAATTCTTAAAAATCTATTTTTTCAGAAAAAATGTTAATTTTGATTATATTTTCTATTTTTAAATAGAGAAAAGATTCAAAAAAATATATTTATTTTAAAATTGACAAAAATCACAACACTTAAAAGTGAAATTTTTCATTTCAAGTTGAGATACATTTAGTATACAGAAATCCAAAATAACAATGTTGGAGAGCTGAGTTTGAAAAGTCCCCTTCCTTCTAATAATACTAGTCTGGTGCTATTAATTATGGAGAAAGAATCTGTTAGCACATTGCTAATCAACTAATGGAATAGATTTTTCTGCCTCTCATTGTTGAGAATTTGAGACCCTTTTGTCTTTTTACACTCTTATTCTCTAGGTACTTTCTGAAATCACAAAGATAACCAGCGGGGAAGTCTGTGTATGAAATGTTCCTTTCCAATAGCCCATTCCCCTGTCTGCACCATTCTGTGGATGTTACCACTTGGACAATTGAATCAAAGAGCAAGAAGCCTGTGAACAGGTCAGCAAACTCTTTGAGAGTGATTGGAAACGTCCTACCATGATAGACGAAGTCGGGTTAAACTTTGGTTTCCTGTGTCCAGTTGTTTCCATGAAGGGTGGGTGTCACTCCTCTTCTCTTGGTTGTACGACCTCAAGGTTAATGGCTGGACTTGATGATCTTAAAGATCTTTTCCAGCCCGAGATTCTCATTGACTTTGGTCCTTGATCTCACTAAGCCTACAGAAACTACTATCTGATCTTTTCCTCCCAGCCTACAGCCTAGTTTGTGCTGGGTTAGAGAAATGAATTGGTGAAAGGAGTGGCTCAAAGACATCAGAGCCAGCCCGAGATAAGAATAGGGGGAGGACGAGTGTCATAGGGAGGAGAGGGAAGATGGGGAGAACCACAATAATCACACCAGTGTCAACAATGAATTGTTAGGTTGGCTCACCCGAAGTCATGGGACTTCACCCTAAAACCTGCTCCTCTGAACAGCTGCCCTCAAGTCTTTTCTGTGCTCTTTTCAGTGCTGATATCAGGGTATCAAAATTTTTTTCTGTATGGTCCTTGGCAGTGTCATAAACCCATGTACTAGCACCACCAGAAAAAAGCCATCAGAAAATGTCATGCAAAGTGTCAGTGGTAAAGCACTAAAATGCCAGAGGAAAAAAATTGAGATTTTACAAAACTGAAGAGAATAGTGGAGTTAAAATGTATTTATCACTCTCTAGGCATGTCACATTGTATTTTAAAACTGGAGAAATCTTTCGACAGCAGCTGGGACTTTAGCAGCTCAAATCTTGCCTGAACTGGAGGAAACCTGGAGAGGCAGGTTGTTAAACTGTGTTAAGAGGATGCTGTTGTTAATGAATATCTTTGAATCCTCCTGAGCAACTGAGAAAATAGCACCCTCAAAGGGGAGATGGAACAGTGGAGTGAGCAGTGGCAATGCTGACAACTGAAATTCACAACTTAACCCGTATTTGGTTAAACTGCAATGGTAGTTGCAAACTAGTTTCTGCTGAGTGGATTCCTGTGTGGTTCTGTGTCCATGTTGGATGGTATTTGCTGCTGGCAGGCAAGGTGGAAAGCCAAGAGAATCGTTTCCACAGCTGACGAGGCAGGATTTGGCAGAACTGCTGAAGTCCTAAACAATAGAAGACCTCCTAGACAACCAATGTTTGTAGTTTTCAAAGATTTATTTATTATTTTGATGGAAAAAACCATAGGGCAGGAGGTCAAGATCACTTGCATGAAACCTGTAAGCAGCTTTTTCTTCAGTGGGCTTTAGTTTCATTAATTCAGGGTGTTTACTCTATATTTTGCCATAGAGCATGTGCAGCTCAAACAGAATATGCAAAAGCTGCTTCAGACATGAAGTTTGCAACAGATCAAGGCATAGTGGTGTAAGAGGTCTTCTTTCAATCAAAGATGGTTTTAAAGTAAGCTATTTACATTTTCCACAATGGTCTGTGAATCAGAATCTGGTTATTTATTATATCTCAGTTGAGGGTCAGTGACTTCTATAACTGCATTGGCTGATTGACAGTATGTTTAAACATAACTGATTTTAAGATTAAATGGTCTTAAATGTTAGGTGAAAACATCTTATGTGGACTCTTAAAAATTAATTTTCCCTCTATTTGCATTTGAAGTCAATTTTAGGCCATCAGTATGAAGTGAAACCTAAAAAGGTTTAAAATAACATATCTACTTAAATCAGTGCAGGTTCAGGTTTACACTGGATCTTGGATGAAAGGCACAACAGCAATGTATTGTACTTACAGAAAAAAATATTGTGGTGATTGTTTTATTATTCATCTTTAGCACAAATCTACTCTTGCAGTGATAAATGCAAGAAACGAACCCTTTCTCCCATATAGGTCCCCCACTATAAAAAAGAAGCAAGCAGATTTAGTGTTTCGCTGGCAATAAGTCAAATGCTGCTTAAGACATAAGTCAGTGCCATTTGACACAACTGATAGTTTCCACTTGAGTAAAATTCATAAATGTTACCAGCATGAGATCTGAACAGATTTTTAATCTCTGGAGTCAGTGGCAGGGCAGTCTGGGGAAAACTAGGGTTATTTTGAGTCTTATGTTTGGCTGATGAATAAGAAGGACCTTTTTGAATTCCCTGCCCGGGAGCTAGCCTGATATTTATCCATCTATCATTGTCTGTTTTTCCTGTGCATTCCTGTTTTATTCAATTGTGAGTTGCTCTGTCTTTTTTTAAAAGGACTTGTGTGTATGCGTGAGCAGCTACACTTAATATTGTAGTTCTCTTCTTTCTGAGATGGAGATTGTAATTGCTTATTGATGGCCTATTTGTATGCTAATGTTGCTCAATAAAAAAAGCGAAAGCATAATTAACACTCCTGCTTCACAAAAAAGAAAGAGAAAAAGGAAAGCTTGGAAAGGTCAGTGGATTTCACATGATAAATTACTAAATAATGGAAGACATAGAATCCTACATCCTAGAATGTAATGCTTTCACTATTTTATTAGCTATTATTTATTACAAATGCTGACTATACTTACTTTTCGGTAACTATTTTCTATATACAATGTATTTAGACATTATGACCCTGTGGTTGGTGGTATAATGTACTGCAGCCTGCCAATTTTCAGATGTAGTGTCTTTCAAGGGAACAGCATCTCTGTTTATTCTCCTATATTTCATTAAGGCACAATTCAGTAACACTGCAGGCAGGGCTGGCTGGCTCTTGGTGTGGAGGCACGAGTCAGACAATCAGGGTCAGATCTCTCAAACAATCATGGAGTGGGAACCTGCAGCCCCACAAGGCAGCACAAGCAACACATTTACTGCTGTAGTCAGTAAGTGGCAGAACAGGCTGCTTCAATACTTAGAAAAAAAAGAAAAATTTAAAGCCTAGACCCCTGTGATACAGTGATGTAGTTGGGTTTGGTGGATTTTTAGGTTGTGTTGTTAGACACAGCATGAAAAAGAAATATTTGGGCATATGGGCAAGTGTGATGCTGAATATGGTGGAACAAGTGACCCTGCCCTGTTTGTATGCTGCCTTGGCTTTGAGACAAAGTAAATTGAGCTGCCTTACCTGAGGTGAATTAATGTGCATGGCCTCCTGACTTGGGCTGTGTGGACCAAGTGTGATGTATAGGTGGTTGTCTCTGGCTGGGCAGGAGGGCAGTCACAGTTAGCTTGCTAAACAGCCACAGCGTGTTTGCATTCAGCCATGCAACTGAACCTTCAGATGCTCTCCAGGCTTTAATGTTAAAATGACACCAAACTTCTAGTAGGCAGAAAAAAATAATCAAAATTAAGACAAGAATGGTTATACATAATTCTTAAATGTCATGTTTTTTAACAGAGGTGACAGTGCCATAACACCACTTTCAGTATCTTCTTATTAGCATAAAACTTATTTTCAGAATTAACACTCACAAGTTATTGAATCTTAATACTACTTCTTCAAGACAATTTCTTTTTGTTTTGTTTTATCTGCAGATGACAGAACATAGGAAAATGGGCCTTCCCAACTGTGTGACTTTGCTTCTCTGGGTATATCACAAAATAGAGTTCTTGCATCTAGTGTTCTTCTTGTTGCTCATGAAAAAGAGTTCTTATTTAAATGTGGACAGATTAAAACCAAATAAAAGACTGTCCCAGGAAAAATATTTTATTTCCTTAGAAAATTAAGAATAAAAGTAAAGTAGTTAAAACATATGTTAATATATTCAAAATTCAGCAAATCTAAAGAGAAGCAAATTTAAAGATTAGTTTAAATTTGCTTTTTCTTCTGTGACTGAGGCCATGGAAATGATACTTTGCCATGCTTCAGAGTCATTGCTGGTTGATAACTGCATGTGGAAATTCAATTTGTGTGCTACATTCTCTGCTAGTGTTAATAAAAATATTTCTTTAGAAGTTAATAGAGTCGTTTAATAAGCACAGGTGAGATTTGTTCTAAACCACAGCATGCAACCTTTGCTTCTGGGAAAATATATTTGATAATGTTTGTGTGTTACTGTACTTATCCTCAGTTAGTGGAACTTCATACTGTGTCTTCTTGCCATTCTCTGACAAAAAGTAAATGATGAGGCTTAGGATTTTAGTCTAGGCATAAGGAACACTCATGTTGAGTCAAGGAACACTTGTATGAAATAATTGACTTTGTTTATATCCATCTGCAATTTATCCACAAGAACAGCATTGAAAGGTGACATTTATCTTACAAGTTTCTCATTCATTTCTGTACTCTGAACTCAACTTTCATGCAGCTCAAGTGCATGATACATGTAGATGAATATTTATTATAGATGATTAAGTGTCCTTTGACAGTACAATATACTTCACTGTAAAAATAAACAGATTGTGCATGAGGCTGTCTGATTTGACTGGTGGCACAGATAGTACCTCACTTATGTATGCTTTTCATCAGAAGATCTCAACACCATTTACTGAAGAGGGAAGTACCAATATTCTTCCTTGGTAATTCTACATCCTTACTGGATTTAGCAGTGCTTGAAGATCCTGAGACCTCAAAAGTCCCTCTCATAACACCCATAAAACATATCTTACTCAAAACTATGTTTTAAAGTATTGGAAACATTGTGACCCCACAGAGATGGAAGCAGGTCTGTATTTTGATGTTTCCAGGGGTAAATACAAGTTTCCACTAAAATTCTTCAACAGATATTGCCATCCCAATAAACTAAACTGAATTTCTCTTAAGAACATTTGTACAATCTGCTCTCTAATTCAAAATCATGTCTGGAATGTTAATGAAGAGAATTTGCTAACTTTAGTTTATAGTTTAACTGTGCTGTAACCCATGACTGGAAAGGAAGGCCAAGACTTGCAAACTCATACCACCGCCAAGACAAAGAGAGTTTATAGAATTGCAAACTTTTACTAGAAAAAAAGAATTAAAAATTAATCCAGATTTCACCCTAAAGAAGAGAAAAAAAATAGAAATTGAGTTTTAAAGATGCATGTTTGTGCTAAGTAGCTAACCAAATTTGCAAAGAGGTTTA